TGAATGCTGTTGCAATCTTAACAAGGTTAGTATACGAGTATGGACAGAATTAGCAAGTTTTCGGTGTTACTTTGTTGCAAATTAGCTTTGGTATTACAAATGTAGTTGACTACAAAAAGGAAAGTTCCGACTTTCAGGAAATACTGTGTTATTTTATGCGCACCGAAATAAATGAATCCCAAAAATAGAGATGATACTAAAACTATTTATATTGACTATTGTTTTATTTCTTAGCGCTTGCCTTCGTTTCTGTTTTTTTGAGTGTACGTGTTATGTTTTGTATTGCATTTTACTGTTGAAATTCTAGACGCGTGTAAGCTCTTTTGTGTACAAACACGAATTATTTATTATTACTATTATTATTCATTTTCAAGCCGTACAGAAACGTTAATTTCATATTAGGATGTACGGTTGAGTTTAAAAATACCATCATGATAAATCTTCACCGATTCGATTCTCAAAACTTTAGTGACTTATGACTGCCTTTTGTTAAATGTTGGACATACCTATTACGACGTAACAGAATAGAACAAAGACAATTTATTATTATTATTATCACTACATTCTAAATATAATTCCATACAATTCTTGTGCAGCTAAACATTATTATTAGTTCTTGGCGGGTCAAAGTAAGACTACCAGTATCCCTTCATATATCTCCATCTCCCTCATACATACACATGTAACCTACCCCTGTGAGTGAACGATTGTTCGGTAAGTTCAAAGACACGTTTTTTAGTTGTATGTCTCCGACTCGAAAACTTTGTCGTTACGTTTGAGTGACCTTCAATCATACTTGTCAGAGTGACAACTTACGTGACATCGGCGTGCAATTCGAGTTGTCCTGTTATCAATCCTCAATATAAAATTGTACAATGCCCGGAAATACGATCAATGGAGAAGGCCTACAGCTAGAGCTAAATTCATTAGAGTATGAAAACAGCGGTCGCCTGTTACCTACTTCATACGTACTGGAGAGAGTAGCGGATGCGCTATCTCTGTGCAGTGTTCCGCCCATGGTACGGAGACTCGATCTATTTACTTATTTTATATGGCGTTGATGACGTAACCGCCTAGAACGGTGACTACAACTATACATATTTTTAATCTATTTATAAGTTTATATTGATTTTAGTGAAAACTATAGGTAGTTCGTGATGCGTCCGTAACATACTTCCATATTCCAAGCCTTGTGCGAGCCTTTTTGCATAATGATTTTGTTCTTGCTTAAATTCTTTAAATGGATATATTTGTGTTTCTTTATTCTGATACACTACAACCCAAAACTAGTGTTTATGTAAATCTTCATCTTTCTACGTCTAGCCATGTGTCTTGGGTTACGTAAGGCTCAGTTTTTAGCATTATGGTCAATAACTACTCAATTACTCAGTTATGACTATTCAAATCAGCCCTCATAACATTGTGAATTCATTTCTGATCGAGTTTAGTATTCATTATATTATTAAATACACCATTTTCTCTATGTTAGGATATTTGTATGGATTTGCAATGAAAACGCCATTCAACATAAATATTGTATCAGTTTGACTGTGGTATCTCCCCTGTCCACACCACCCCTACTACTAAAATAGCTAAGCACCAATCACCCCTTACTAAGTATTCATTGGCGTTCATTTTGTTATTGTCAGACATGAGCGTCGACAAAAGGAATGCTCGCTCTACAATATGAAGATAATATGTATACGTAATATGTATACATGTAAGATATGCATATGGTATAAACTTTGTTGTCACATGAATATTAAATTTATACAAATAAAATAGTTCATTTTACAAAGGAGAGTCTCTGGGACAGGAGCAAGGAACAAGCCCTTCGGGTAGATCTTGACGTGCCAACTCACTTTTTAATAGAATTTCGCCCAATGTAGTTCGGGAGCAACTGGCCAATGAAGAGCATCCTAAGGTCCCAATCACGTTCAAACATAATGATTTTTCGTACGCATGACGTTTTTTATCTGTTTTATTTTAATATATCTACGATTAATTTTCTTGAATTTGTTCGCCAGGTGATAGACACAACAACACTTCTACCAACACGAAAATCACAGGATGAGGTTCAGGTGTTACATTGATTCAGTAACGGTTTTCGGTGCTGGATTTGTGATTTATCGGTGATACAGGGTGTTATGGTATTGATTTGCCACGGGACGCTGGAATCGACACTTTTCTGCAAAGAAATAATCTCTTGGTGGTTGGATCCATTTAGGAAAACTTTCCTGTGGTAAATTTGTAGCCAGCCAGCGATGGTTCCTAGACAGTTGTTATGGTGTTAAGTCGCCAGGGGACGCTGCATTTGAAAATATTCTGCAAAGAAGTGTTTGCACCTGCCTTTTGAACATCTGAACCGAATTAGGAATGATTTTTGGTGATGGACTTGTGACAAACAGGCGATGGATCATAAATGTTAATACTTTGGCTCGTTAGGGGATGCTGATAAGCACACTTTGCTTGAAACGAATGACCTCTATTATTCCTAATAACAGTTTTATAATCAGCAAGATGCAAGATACATCTTAATAACACGCACTAACAAAACAGTAGATTCTACCTGTTACCTTCTTGAAACTGCCGACTCTTGCATCAAAATCAATCGGATCTTTAGATCAAATTCTTTTGGAATACTAGCTACTAATGCACCGAAATGTCCCTAGACCGGTCCGGCGGTTTGTATGCCTATATCTAATTGTTTACAGGTTTATGTTTGACTGTGTTTCGATGTTGGATCGTCGGCGATAGAAACTAGTTCTTGGATATTAAAACTATGTGTTCTGGAAGGTCAAAATCCAAAACCAAAACTATAGGTCAGCAATGTGACATGGAATATTTTATTCATTTAGGTTGGCTAACCTTTGCTAACCTGTTTTTAGTAGTATGTGATTTGTGATCCACTGACGATGGTTCCTAGGTTGGTGTTAGGACGGTATATCGCTAGGGAATGCTCCAATAAAGACCTTTACACAATGAATGTTCCCAGTTACCTCTGAAATGGTCTGGCTGATTTAGAAACTCTTCAATGGGGGATTCGTTACAGTTCCTAGATGGTTGTCAGGGTATTAGCTCACCAGGGGTGATTCATCGTGTCGCCGCTCTAACGTGAAGAACTTACCGATGTCACATAGCATTATGCTATGGCATAATCATAACAAGCCCTCCTAACTAAAACCATATATATTGGTATTTAAAGAGCTTAAAGCAAAACATCATTACAAATTTTTAAATAATCCGGGACGGATCTAGAGGAAGAAGGATTAACTACATTTTCCAAACTCCTACTAATAAGGATTACCTCCTCGAAAGGTAAAAATTCTATCCCCAATATTAGTTAGAAGATGCCGTTAATGAAAAGATGTTACGTTCAATATACATATCCAGCGCAATTTCAATTAGTTACAAGTACACAAAGCTAGTTCATTACAGAACAGGAAATAGCAGCCCTCGACGGGCTCTCTTGAGTTGAACGTTTAATATTTTAAATTAATTCTGCTTCTAACAGATCAGTCGTGGGTTCTTTAAGAATGGAGAAGTTTTCTGATATTCAGAATCACATAAGTAATGACGTACCAGCAAAATATAGTCTAAGTATAATCAGCCAGTGTAAAAATTATTGAAATCGGCCAATAAATTACAGAGAAATTGATACTTAAATTTGGCGCATTATAGCGCGAAATCATTGCTGCCGTTCGTTCACGTCTGACCTCACACTTCTCTAGTGCCCAGCGTCTCGTCGCGTAGGTGTCCGACAGCGTCTGTGCGTTTAGTCATTAGTCTATAGACAATTCATAAGACACACTTGTGCGATCAAACACGTGGTTTTCAGTTGATAACTATTACGTACTGCGTAAGTTCATACCATTATTGAAGCCGCATGTGAAGGTACGTAGAAAAAATGTTTATTAGGGGTTGTAATTGTTATGCTTGTACAGTTTGGAACGGTAAATTATTTATAACAACCTTTTTTTCTTATTTCGCTCATAACCGATCGTGTATGCAGTCAACTAATTAAACAAATTGGAGCGGAAGACGTTTAGCCTACCATGTGTCCCGCTGTATGTGTGCCTATGCATGTGTTTAGGAGATTGAGTCAGCTCAGGCCCAGGAATCTGCCACGGGCGTTGCAACTGGATACTGAAGTGTGACGTCACAGGTTACGTGCAAACGGGATAAAAATATTCTCGCGGGGCGCAACTTTGATGGGCTGAAACTTTTTTGTTTTTAGAGATAAATTAATAATTTTTTCACCATCTTGTTTCATTTTCCCTAAACTTTCATTTGAGCTTATAACAAAAAACGGTAAACTTGTCCATTCTATAATAACTGGGAATGTGATGATTATTATGGTGTGAAGAAGATTGGATTTGGGCAGCTGTAAACATCGTTACTCATCCATCAATTTTGTTGTTCTCAAATATTACCAAATCTAACACTGACACAATAAAATTAAGAGAATTCCACTATGACTATCATTTACTTAGGTGCATTTTCATTATCATTCATCAAATGAGAGGAAAGTTACTTCATTTCGAACGATTCGACAGTAATGTTGAACCATCAGGTTGGTAGTGCAAACACTGCATTAGGCGATTTTATTTATTTTTCTGAGGACCACTTTATGCTATGCTGACCCTTGCCTCCACCCATGTCCTCACATGGTCCCCAGCTTGCGTGCATGCAAAGGTGAATTTTAATACTTTCCTTACCAATGTGTACCAACAACGTAGGCCGTGCGCTAAGTCCCACCCATCATGGTAAGCCGACGACCCTCCCATGCAGCTGGGCGATGAGAAGTAACTTTCGTCCTACTCTTCGACGAATTGAGCGTACCTTTTATGCGGTACGACATCAAGCCTTTCTTCCGCGACGGCACAATAGAGGTACGCGACCAATCCACTGCGGAAAACTTGCCCAGCAGATGGAAATTGGAAATTTTTTATGGGATGTTGAAATCGGGTGGATCTCGGCATTTAGTATATTTGTTGATGGTGCGGTGAAGTGACGCGATAAGGCGGTGACGCGATGACGCATCGTTAAGAACTACCGGAAATAGACGATCAGCGGAAGATGGATATGCGGCCCATTTTTGGCGGATATCCCTTCCAAGGTAAACCACAAGGACTTAGTTTGAGGTCATCGCTATTTTTGTTGCCCCTGAGCATATTTATTTTTATTGTAGAGCATCTTAATACAAAGCAAACTACTTGTATCGCTTGGTACTTCTATAAACAGATCTTCAATTTCTTATATTTCTGCCTGGTACGTACGTAAACCACAAAGATAATTTGGGTCCCCTGCGCTTTTCATATTTGTTATATTTTCATACCTAATTTTATTATTTATTATAACTCCACGGATCCTATCTGGGACTCTTAACACTTTTACTCTTCAGTGTTGTTATAGCTCCATTATTATAAAGAATATACAAAAGCTGTTTACAAACGCTGTAGGCAACGATACATATTCGTTCCTTACTTGAAGGTTGTGCCGCCCTATACAAAGTGATCCGTAACTATGGTTGCAACAGATATCGGCAGGGGTGTAACCTAAAAAAATAGAAAAAAACGCTAAGAAACCGACGAAATGCCATCTTTCAGTATAGGTAGTTTTTAGTGTGCAAATAGTTCATTCCACGTTTGCTCACTATGATCGCTGTTCGCTGACGCTTAACCAACACGTACAGCTACAAAACGAGTCCACAACAAGTGTACAACAGCTTGTGCTAAGTTAGCATCTTATTTAAATACCTACGTTATGTCATAAAAAAAAAATATTCGAAATCTTAAAAAAAATACCGACAAAATGTCAGTTTTCAAGATACGTAATACCCGTGCCGGTTACTATTTGGTATCCGGCCTGTAATTTAAGGAAGTTAATAAAACAAAAAGCGCAAACTAAATGAACTTCATTCTTATCATTACAAGCAGTTTTCAGTCAGCAAAATGAGGCAGCCAATCCTCCTAGCTAACGCTGAATCAAATATAAAGTAGAATGACAAATAAAATGTTTTTTCTGTATTAAAAAAGAAACTGACCTAATAAAGGGTTGTAATCAAAGTAGATTACAGCGCAAAAAATGTCTTTTTCTATTTCAGATAACACAAATTTTGAAAGGAAGATTCGCAATTACCATTGAATTAGTAAATATACGGCTGCTCCTTGTACAATATGCCATCTTTGGATAACAATTTCTTACTGTATACTTTGCTACAGGGAGAGAAGAGGTATACTTTGTCAAATCTTGTCAAAATTAGATGATAGGCATGTTCTAGCAAAGAATTTCTTTCTTTCTTTCTAGATGGTTGGAAACAATTAACCAATTTAATTTGACGCATAAAGTTGATTAACACTTTTTTGACAATTCGTTTGGTCATCTGAAATTAACTATTGAAAACCGTTTTAAGATTGTTGCTAGAATATAGTTATTGCTTAGAACTGACTGCCCCCCATGCATATGGATTGTCACCTCGCTTAATTCAAAGAGTTTTCAGATAAATCTTAAGTTCTCCAGCAATAGCATTTTTTGGGAGAAGATGCTTCCGCCTCCTCGTTGAAGATTTTGAGAATTACTTGCTCCACTGGGTATCTGTTATCAACCTTGTCCTAACACAAATATTTATGGAATATCTTGGAATATTATATTAAGGCCCTTTCATAAAAGGAAGCTTGTTAATACATACATAAGGTTTGAGTCCCTACTTCTAGAGCTACAGGATATGTTGTCTCAATAGTCACTATGACAGCTTATAAGGTAGCACAGCAAGAATAGCAAACTTGTTATCATGGTGAGCATAATGGTAACTCATGGTTTCTGGTTATTGAAACGCTTTTTACTCATTTCGTATAACCTATACACAACTTTTGAGTTCCACTTTATATAAGCCCCTTTCTGGTATAAAATTTTTGGTTATGCTAGTCTTTGAGCTATTAAAGTAACAAATACATCCATTCGAGTGAAAGTTTTAACGTATCTTTCTAAGCATTGCTCAAAGAACCTTTGCCCACGTAAATTGTAAAATTAGTATACAGGGTGCCCCATTTTAATCTCCCTACCTAAACATTTTAAGAACTACGGATACTTACCAAAAAAAAGTTTTCAAACAAAGCTTGTGGGGTTTTCAGCGAGTAAAATGGTGGTGACCTTGACAATGTCCTTGGCCACGACTGTTTAAGGTTATTTTAAGGTTAAGAGAGAATTTTTAAATGGAACATTGGGATTGAAGAGAGGAAGAAATTTTACGTCCGAATATGACCATCACCATGGCCTTGGCTACTTCCGCCATTTCAAGGTCTAACCAAGACGTTGAAAACACTCATTATAGCAATTCTAATAGTCACCGATCTATCTAACTGACAGGTTATCACTCTAAGAACTCCCTTCAATCTGCAACTCCAGCAGAACATTATAAAAATCATAAGCCTACCATGGTGACTATTATCTGTGTCAAATTTATCATTTTTGTTTTACTTCACCCGACATTAATGTGTTCGGAAAGACCTTTCACTAAAATGCACAAGACAGAAACAAAATAGGCTTCCTTTTTGGAACAAAAATAAACCATCTTCGATTCGCTCTGCAGAATAATAGGCACACGCCACAAAATTTATGACTTTTTACTCCACCCATATCTGAGATTGGACCTACAGAATCGAATATTTCCATTTCCTTTAAACAAAACGATGCATCAAAGGCGTTCATCTATCATTCTGGGATGAAGCACGCCTTGTCCTCAGGCGAGAACAGCAATCTTAGCAAATTATGGTAGTATAAATTCGACATGGGCCTTCCAAATTACTCGGTCCACCCCTGCAAATGCGTTTAAATTATTAACGAAATTCTTTGGCTATTATTTTAGCCACTTGTCCGCGAATGACTGAGCCTCTTAGATGGCATCATACCATCCTATTGTGGTAGGTTGACTCCACGGAACGTTTTTATTAGTACATAAAGGAATATGTTTAGCACAAAGTAGATTTCCATGAGAAAAGCCAGAACGTAGAAGAAAGACACTTACGCTGTTGCTCGGAAAAAATACGTGTGGTTCTATAAAAGAACAGTCATCATGGGCGGTGCACGATGCCAGCAATAGCCGCGGCCGACAGGTTAAGTGATCCGTCTCCCTAGAACTCTTCAGGGCTAATACAGTTGTATAGAGAAATATATGTTGTGTGAAATATGTCTAATAAGTGCGAAAGATTACCAGGTTACCAATGTTGGGTGAGTGTAAATGAACCAGAATCAAAAAATTGAGATAAACCCTACCCACTCCTTACATCCACCATACCCCCTTTGCCTCCAACTATTTTTTAAAAATTATCAGAATCATCTGAAACGCCAAAAAACGAAGAGTTTCAGAAACGTTTGCGTCTTTGACATAGTAGTAACATTGTGTGAAAGTTTCATCGAAACCCGTATGGTGCTTCTGAAGTTATTGGCGGTTATAAGATTGCGCACAACATATCTAAATCAAATAATTGCATATGTCATGTGCAATCTCTGAGATCATATGCTTTTCCCAAATCTTCCCAATATGTTTCTCGAAAAATTAACTCACCATCAAACAGATAGCCAAGGTTATAGAATATCTTTCCCGGAATTATTTGCCCGATTTGAATGATTTTCTAGTAAACGTAGTCCGCCTTCTTCAGCACACTAGTGGATTTACGGCATGAGTTTTTATCCGAGGTGTCACTACTACATGTATTTTCATAAATGACTTCTTGGACAGCTACCATGTCTGTGAAATTAGCCCAAAAAAAAAAACGTAGGATAGCAATTCATTCATGTAAATCGTTTCTCCATCATTTGTCCACTCATTCATTTCATTTGTCCACCATTTGTATTCCCCTAAAATTAGAAAATAAATTTTGGGGCTAACTTCGGGCAGCCCCAAAATTTTCGAATACTGAGGAAACGTTTTGCTCTCTCGTTAGTCCACATTTATATACCCTTTAGTTTCATTTGTCCATCTTTTGAATTTTGTGAAAATGGAAAATAATATCTGTCCACCCTCCGACGATTCTGCGCGGGCCATAGTAGTATTAAAAAAAATATTCAAAAGGGACCGAGGATTGTCTTTTTTAGATCTGTGGGGTGGACAAACGTTTTCGATGGATGGACAAACGCATGCAATAATGTTAATCTTTGATGAAGCGTCTCCGACGATTTTGCAGGGGTGTGAAGTCGTATTAGTATTTCAAGAAATATTTGAGATCGTCGGATGATTTTATTTTTTTAGATCTGTAAGGTGGACAAACGTCTATGATGGGTTGACAAATCAACGCAACGATGTGCATTCAATTTTGTAGGCTCCAAAGGGTTGCTTTGAATAATCTGTTTCAAATAGTCAACAAATATTGAGAACTGGTTTTGTTCCTAATAAATCATTTTCAGCAATTTTGAAGGCATTTCACTAGAAATTAGAGGTCGGCGTGTACCGATTTCCACCAAATTCAAAAGATGGACAAATGAAACTCAAGAGCCGACAAATGTGGACTAACGATGGACGTACGAGAGAGCAAATCGTTTTAAAAGTAATCAAAAATTTTGGGGCTGAGTGAAGTAGTAAGAAATATTCCTCGTTTCTGCAAACAAAACCTTTACTTGTACATAAGGCTTGGATTCTTTCAAATTTCAATTGGTTGCGTTGACAGCCGGAAGCTGTGTGTTTTTTAAAACGTCCTACAAGGGCAGATCAAAATCATATAAAATCATATAGGGCTTCAGTGATCGTGTTGGTCATGACATGCAAGTGATCCTATTTTCCGAAATTTGAGATGTCGGGTGTATACATTTTTAATGTCTTACAAATGTCCTTGTCTTGTCATGGGAAAAGTATATCTAATACAAATATTCCATAAGTGTTATGGCAGAGATTTAGTTTCAATTCTAATTCCTCAATGATAACTGCTGAATTCCAGTGAAAACATAAATAATACTGGCAACCAAAACGGATGAGAGTAGCATAACATGTCGTACGATACTGCCAGTGGGGTATGCCTTTGACTTGGCGAAGTGAGACCGAATCCTGCTATATTCAAAGACACGCTGCGTTAACAGTGGCGTACTATTTTTTTTTCTCTTTTCCGTTTCGGTACCAGACTACAGCTGTTGCAAGATCTTTATACACGGTGTAAACGTTATGATAGCCATTATTTAAATGGGTGATAGAGGGGGTTAAAAGAAGCAAAAAGTTACATATAACGAGGAGGTCAAAACGGCATTTTTTTAGAGAAAAGCGACTTTAAAGTAAAATAAAATCTGACAACGCCGCAATGCCAGATGCAAATTATGACGGAACGCAGTGTAAATAAAGATGGTGTGTGGAAGTTTATTGAAATTTTGATAAACACATTGTTTTTCTTTTTCAAACCCACACTGAACTTTTTTTGTAATTAAAGAAGGTGTTCAAAATGTCGCCCTCCACTTTCCACACAAGCTTCATTACGACGAACCCAGTTTTTTCCTACTCTAGGCCCTCGAAGTTGTTCATTTATTATTTCAGCCGCATTAAAAATTTTTTCACGAAGTTGTGCTCCAGTTGTTATTGGACCAGCCCTTTAAGTTCTCCCCAATACCAGAAGTCCATCGGATTGAGGTCAGGAGATCTTGCTGTCCATTTTCGAGGATCAGGAGCATTTCGACGGATCCAGCGATTTGGATAATGTTCATTCAAATACTGAATGATGTCTCTAAAAATGTGTGGTGGTGACCCGTCATGAAGAAAAACCACACATCCTGTCTCGGTTGTAATGGCATGTTATCTAAGGCCTGTTCCAAAAGTTCTGTTAGGTTATTGGCTAGAAAGCTAAGGTATCCTTCTCCTGACAACTTTGGGGGTAACTCGAAAGGGCCAATTACCTGATCGCCAAGAATACCCGCCTAAATATTTATTTTGAAGCGTTGTTGGAAATGACCTTCATGAATGGTATATCCCGTCTCGCGTAAAAGTACATTTGTCCGTCGCTAGAATGTTTTTAAAAAAATACCGATTCTCAATGTTTTTGTGCAAAAACCACTGGCAGAATGTTAGTCTGCGAGGGTAGTCTTCTGATAACAATGCCTGCACTCTTTGTACATGGTAGGAATAAAGCAAAATTTCCCGTAGGATTCAATGGACTATGGTATGTGATAGTCCTACGCGGCGGCCTAATTCCCGAGTGCTGTTATCTGCATTGATTTCGAGCCGTTTTACACACAAGAGAATTACTCCGAAAATTATGGTCATAATTATGCCGAAAATTTGCATGGAAAAAATATTGAACATTTCCTCTGCAACCTGTATGACACACGCAAACAAAATTTCCGAGTAATTCATATGATACGCCTGCAGATTAGAGTAATATTTTCGAATGGACATAACCTTAATGGATATGATGTCCAATATAATCGAAAAGACAACAGACGTCGTTGACTGAAATTTATTTTTGAAATCGAGATCTTGGTTAATATTATGAAACTTCTCAATGCTTGGACTATCGCATCCAGCGCCTGACGCCGCAAATTTCTGTTTTTGTAATTGGGTGACTTCACCTTGTACAGGTTTGGCCATTTTTTGGTACTCCTCCAACAACAGTGTAACTCTTTCCCGATTCCACGACATTTTGAATAAAGAATAACAATAAACGCTTCTTGGTACGACTCGAACAGGACCACACCCACAAATGTTAAGTGAGGTTATGTTGTTGACGATGACATTTGATATTGACATGCACGGAAATAACCCTCTGCGCCGATTCTCACGCATATTCTATAGAAAATTATGGTCATAATTATGCGGAAAATTTGCATGGAAAAAATATTGAACATTTCCTCTGCAACCTGTATGACACACGCAAACAAAATTTCCGAGTAATTCATATGATACGCCTGCAGATTAGAGTAATATTTTCGAATGGACATAACCTTAATGGATATGATGTCCAATATAATCGAAAAGACAACAGACGTCGTTGACTGAAATTTATTTTTGAAATCGAGATCTTGGTTAATATTATGAAACTTCTCAATGCTTGGACTATCGCATCCAGCGCCTGACGCCGCAAATTTCTGTTTTTGTAATTGGGTGACTTCACCTTGTACAGGTTTGGCCATTTTTTGGTACTCCTCCAACAACAGTGTTTCCCGATTCCACGACATTTTGAATAAAGAATAACAATAAACGCTTCTTGGTACGACTCGAACAGGACCACACCCACAAATGTTAAGTGAGGTTATGTTGTTGACGATGACATTTGATATTGACATGCACGGAAATAACCCTCTGCGCCGATTCTCACGCATATTCTATAGAAAATTATGGTCATAATTATGCGGAAAATTTGCATGGAAAAAATATTGAACATTTCCTCTGCAACCTGTATGACACACGCAAACAAAATTTCCGAGTAATTCATATGATACGCCTGCAGATTAGAGTAATATTTTCGAATGGACATAACCTTAATGGATATGATGTCCAATATAATCGAAAAGACAACAGACGTCGTTGACTGAAATTTATTTTTGAAATCGAGATCTTGGTTAATATTATGAATCTTCTCAATGCTTGGACTATCGCATCCAGCGCCTGACGCCGCAAATTTCTGTTTTTGTAATTGGGTGACTTCACCTTGTACAGGTTTGGCCATTTTTTGGTACTCCTCCAACAACAGTGTAACTCTTTCCCGATTCCACGACATTATGAATAAAGAATAACAATAAACGCTTCTTGGTACGACTCGAACAGGACCACACCCACAAATGTTAAGTGAGGTTATGTTGTTGACGATGACATTTGATATTGACATGCACGGAAATAACCCTCTGCGCCGATTCTCGCGCATATTCTATAGAACGGGTTTTATATTTTTACCATGAAAATTTTCACAAGAATTCTTTTACGTGTAATACGACAGCGAAAATTTTCGGCATAATTATGACTATAATTTTCGGAGTAATTCTCTTGTGTGTAAAACGGCTCTTCCACGATATTTAAAATTTGTTCCTCCTATTGTACAATAACCTGTCTTTGACGAGTGCGAATATTAGTGGGCTTAACACTTCCTGTATCTCGAAGTCTTTGGTACACTTGCACAAATATCCTTTTGTCTGGGTGTACCCGTTGGCGAAATATGTCGCAATAAATTTGAGCTGCAAGATTGGAATTCTGACGAGCTTCACCGTCAACTAACAACATGTCGATGAGCTCTTGATTCGAGAACATTGTAAATAAACACGACGACGTACGCGAACAATAACTAACCACTGTTCCGTTTGCGATCGATTGCCGGTTCGATGAGAGTGATGGATGACCGACGCGCTGTTGTCATGTGTGTCTTAAATATTTAATTTAATGAAACTTACTTACTTATTGACTACATATTTTGGCTTAATTTAGAAAAACTTAATGCTATTAATTTGTTAATTACCGAATTTAAAAACAATTGATATTAGATTATAAAAAATAGTAAGATTGTGGTGATTGTGGTCGATATAAAGCACTTTAAGTTGTAAAATATAAAGCCATTTTGACAAAAATCTATTGACTTTTGGTCCATCGGTCATATGAACTTCTTGACTTGTTTTGACCCCCCCCTTATTACCCATTTCAGTAATGACTACCATATCGTTTACACCCTGTATATTTAAAAAATAAAATATCAGAAAATAATAAACTATCTAAGCTGCTCAACTGTTTTTCATGATGCATTAGTTTCTTGGAAAAGTAAAGCAATTTCGAAAACAAATAGAGTTTTAAAAAAGCAAACATAATCTCAACGTCACTGACAGTATCTGAAGTAATCAAAGTACCCGGCCGGGTTCTCGGCTGAGTACCCGGTACTCAAGACCCGAATTTGACCGAATACCCGGTACTCGGCGTGCATCCCTACGAGGTACAATTTTTTTTTTGTTTCAGGTCAAGGTCGCGTGAATCAATTGGGCGGCGTCTTCATCAACGGGCGACCACTTCCAAACCACATCCGCTTGAAGATAGTTGAAATGGCCGCAGCCGGGATACGACCCTGCGTCATATCTCGTCAACTGAGGGTATCTCACGGATGCGTGTCGAAAATCCTGAATCGCTACCAGGAGACTGGTAGCATCAGGCCAGGCGTTATCGGTGGCTCCAAACCGCGAGTGGCCACTGCTGAAATCGAGGATAGGATCGAGCAGATGAGGAAGGAGAATCCCGGAATTTTCTCTTGGGAGATAAGGGAGAGACTGATTAAGGTAAAATATACAAATCGGAGTGAATTTTTGTGATTTTCCGCCACGCTATATAAGCAGATTTATTTGTTAGAAAAATCTTACAAATTGCTTTTATAGAATCTGACATTCCAAGTTTTGGATTTTAGCATTCAGAGCGTTAGAATTTGCTGGAGAAGCAATAATTTGACTTTACTCTACAAAAAAAAAAACAAGAACCCAATGCTATCAGGCCATTACCTATTATATCTATTGGTACTAGGTAAGTGAGTAAGAAGTAACAGTAACACTAACTTAACCTAAATTCTGATGTCGGATTCTTTACGTATTCTGTAAAACATTATTACCAAGTAATACTCAGACATCTTCCGCCACCAATAGCTTCTTCCAGATGCTTTAAACAAGATTCAGAAAAGTTCGAGAGTCTAATAGAAACGATTCATGCAATATACTTTTTAAGTGTAAAGTAAAAAAAAAATATGTCTTTACTCAATAGAAATTATATATAAGACCTTGCAAGAAAAAATTTATATTAGACCCTACAATTTTTAATATAGAACTTTTTTCTATGCCGCCATAAAAACAAGTTAGAGAGAAGTCAGTATATACCGGGACGCCTTGTTTAAAGCGTCTGGCTAAAGTTATCGCCGGTAGGAAGTGTTTGGCAGTGTCATTGGCTACACATCAGTATGGTCTTTTTTTGGTCTCTCGGAACAACGAACATCGCATCTATCTTCTAACCAGAAGGTACGGTTTATCGAAACAAGACAGCGCAAAGCACCGTCTATCTCCAAAATTGACCACTAAGGAGAGTGAATAGCAGCTATTTGTTGGAATTGTGAAGATGTCAGTTTGAGTTTAATAACCCAGTTACCATGTGACCGTTAGATGTCTGACGATTCTGACTGTAAAGTAGATGTGGTCTACTTGCCATTCAACAAACTAAACATGATGCTTTCTTCCGTCCGACCAAAAGAGAGCCAACTATAGACACCTGTTTCGTGCTTTTTGACTGCTCATCAGCACGGTCTAGACTTGGTCTCTCGGAACAACGAACGAGAGCATCGGAACTATCTTTTATCCAGGAGGTATCGAAATAAGATAGCGCAAAGTCCCATCCATAACGAAAATTGACTTCTGCGGAGAGTAAATAGCAGTTATTTGTTGGAACTGTGAAAATCTCAGTTCGCAGTCTGTAATAGTAGCGTCCCACATTTCGTCATACAGAAAACATTATCTCTACCATTATTACTGTAATTCCAGCTACCCAGTCAAACTTCAAAGACTTTATACATAGTAAGTGATATACTACATTTTAACTTTCGAACTGTTTCATTCAACGATGTTCGAGTCGCAATCAAAAGCTTAAATAATTCTAAAAGTAAAGATCCTTATGACATCGACGTTAAAATTATGAAGACCTTAAATAACTTTATAGTATATAATATAACAAAGTTGATAAACATGTGTATAGAAAATAATGTTTTTCCTGCTTTCTTAAAACTCGCAAATATTGTCCCAATCTTCAAGAAATGATGTAAGAACGATCCATGTAAGTACAGACCCACTTCCATGATACTCATTATAGCAGAAACTTTCGGTTTTATCAGTTTTATCAACAAATGTCTGGAAGACAACATGTTCTGTGATCTTACAAAAGCATTTGATTGTGTCCCGCATCACATTTTGATTCAAAAGTTGTCGCTATATAGTTTTAGTAATAACAGCCTGTCCTTGACTGCGTCTTATTTATCAGACAGAAGACATAATGTTAGTTTTCAAAATTGTTTATCTAACACTACATATTAACCACGAAATGTCTTAGGGCCGATCCTTTTTTTTTGTTCACATCAATGATCTGCCAGACTGTAGCATCAATCAATGTATATTACTTGCGGATGACACGACATCAATATCCTCCAATCATAGCAAAATCGACTTTGATGACATCCTTATTATGCTTACTTCCAATCTGACAATACTGCATACTGATTTGGGGTTATTCATATCATATATCCAAAGTGTTTGCTGTTTAGAGACGACGTTTGAGAATAATATCAAACTTACATTCCAAACAGTATTGCAAGATGGCATTTATTGATCTAAAATTTCAACTGCACCATGCATATATGTAACATATATACTCGAATGTTTGAATGTTTGTTAAAAATAATGATTATGATTACAGAACACCGAAAGGGATTCACAAGTATAAAACAAGGTTCAATAATGAATTAATACCAAAATACACAAGACTATCAGAAACTTACTTCGGCACAGACGAATCTTTAAATAATGATTTTACCGACTTTGTTCCAAAATTGTTGGCTATGTTTGTTTTATTACTTATATTGTGTATAATATATTACTATTACATATTTTATTGTTCATATGCTGGGACGTTTCTAGACGTGTGTGAGCACTTTTGTGTACAAATACGAAGTTACAATTATTATTAAGGCAGAGGGGTATATTTTTCAGCGAGGATTCGTTTGCTTTTCAGAAAAAGCTGCGCTTAAAATAGCAAAGCTAATAAGCAAATTGAAATTAAAACAAAATTTGAAGGAAAGTACATCAACTACCGTTTATTTCATTAGAAATTTAAAGTATAGTCCTGTCACATGATGCTTGTTTGCAGCATTTGGTGCTGGGTCCACCCCGACGTTTACGTTAATGGCCTATCTAAATAGACTTAAGTCTGAGTAGCATCGAAAAAACGGTTTCCTCAAATCTGACTTTAAACAAACAGATCTGCTTATTTACACGAGGCTTGGGTCATATCATATCGGTTGCTGGAGGTGTGCGCGTGTGTTATTATTGATTATTTTCACAAGAACAAGAACTATATGAGCCTTGAAAATAAACGTCCCAACTCCTGCACACTCTGTAGATGGAACAAAAAGTTAGCGGGACTAGGTCGCAGCAATTCTGTATATGTGAGGTTAAATATCTCAGTTTCTTTATAAGACTGTGGATTATTGAGATACAATGCATCTGTCTGTGAAGATCTTGGTAGAATTTTATTTAAGTCCCCCATTTTTTTTTGTGTTCTCGTATTCTGGAACACCTTGTGTAATTCACGTCATTTCAAAAAAGGATGTCTGGCCATATTTTCCATGCGTATTGTATGCTAATAACTACCGCACGGGCACTGGTAACGTGCCTTGAGGCTCACCGACAGCAGACACCGTATCATTACGGAGCACGTAAAAATGCAGTTTCACCAGTTTCGACTGCAAAACGGCACGTATCCAAAATAACACCCTTTATAAATATTAATAGCATTCCTCATCGCTGTCAGCGGAACGACCGTTCGCTTCATAATTTTGAAATTGATAAATGACAGGGACGTACTGAACCAAAAGAAGTTATTAGGAATTGAAGGTATAATCAAATCCTTCTGACTTACATTTTATTGATGTATTGGGCCTGTTTTTTCAGCTTCCTTTGCTAGAACGTAAAAACGGAGAACACATGTCTTAATATGAATGCTTTCTCAGATTTATTGGGGGAAATATTCCAGCTCACCTTAAGTTTTCATCTTCGGACTGGTACCTGTTGACTTCTGTAGAGCAACTATTGAATAACCTGAGTTATTTCTTTCTCTGGTAGATCTTGAGAAAGACTTCTGCACTCCTTCTCCTGAGAATGACCCAGGGAGCAATTCTTCAATGGACAATAAACGATAACGTTCCTTGAATGGTATAGAACCCCCGCCCACTTTCTATTAGTTTCAGTCTTTATTAGTTTTAAACCAATTCGACAACGTCCTATAAGAAACATATTTCACAGGACCGCCAGTGATCAGAATTGACCACTCAGGAGGCGTTTCTAGAGTAATGGTTATAATGAGGAGATATTCTTTATAAGTGACCTGGTATAACTACATAACCCTATTTTATCATTGACCATTTGGATTGGATATTTACTCGGTATTTAATTTATCTCTTCAAAAAACGTATTAATTAGAATTTTCTAATGCAATGACAAAAATCATCGATCTAACTTGACTGAAATAGAAAATCATGTGTATAATGTAAGTTAATTACGGAGTTGTCATCTGCACGGGTATTACGTATCTTGAACAGTGACATTAAGTCGATTTTTTTTGACATTGTATTGGTTTTTTGTGACATTTTTATACAAGATGTTAGCTTAGCACTAGCTGATGGACGTGCGAATACGTTTTGTTGTTGTATGTGTTGCCTAAACGTTATGAGCCTTCAGTTAGCAATGTTTGGCTCTGATGTGATGCAAAATCTGCTTCAGAGATGGCATTACTTGGAGGTCTAAGAGGTACATTGTATGTGTTGATGATAATTCTATAGGATTTTTATCTCAAATACACTTACTTGAAATTCAAAGCTAGAAATAGTTGCGCATCAACTTTTTCTTATCCATTCTGGAAATTACATGATGAAAATTTTAAGAATTTTAAAAATGAGAGAGATAAGAAATAATTATATTCACTGTACACGTTGAAGTACAAGTCATATACATGCTAACAGTAATTACACACAACGAGGGCGCGGTGGTGATTTCCCATAATTATCCTCAAAGTTTTTCGTAATTTATAATTTTGAACATAACCTGTCTTGAGAGGGGATAACATATTAATAGCCCATCAGGCACAGCTAATAGATATACTTCATTGGCAGCATATTCAGTAATGATTTTCTCACACAGCAAATATCACTGACTTTATACACATGCAGACCATTACACTTAATCATCCAGATGCGATCTTGCTATTCAACCAACTTCCTTCTCAGAGATAAAAACTAGTCCACTCGAGACACATGCAACCAACAATGCGCGTAGTTTAGTTGAGTCATTCGTTCATAGATGGACGATCACAACAAGCCTGGTGAGCAAACGTAAAATGACTGTTTGACCCTAAAAACTACATAGTCTGCAAGATGAGATTTTATAGGTTTTGTTTGATATTCCTTTAGGTTTTTTACGTAATATACGTGCTGTTTAGCAACCAACATATCTGTTTTGCTAATTTCTCGTGTCCTTATCTTTTTCTAAATTTGATTATATTATTCACAAGATGGACGTAATTATTGTTTCGGGTTAGTCAATTTTGATCCGCGGATCTAATCTTGAACCCGGCATAATAAAATCTGGTTAAAAGATGCTACGGAAATCGGTTTTCATTAAATAACAATTGAACGACATTTTATAATTCAGCATAATAACCAGCTGTGACCTTATATGATGGTGCTCGTGTAAAACAATTAACTCATTTATAACGCCAGGGATGGACAAGATTAGAGTGACATTTTTATACAGGGTGGCGCAGAGGAAACGCACGATTTTCACCTAAGCATAACATTTTTTATTTTCAAGATAACTTTGTTTCAGTTACAGCTAAATAAAGTAATGATAGTGCACTTTTAAACTAATGATGGTAAATAACGTCACTCAAGTGTCGCCCTGCTTCGCGCTCGCACATCTCCAACCGCTCTTGAAAGTTGTGCATTACACGTAAAATCATTTCTTGTGGTATTCTTGCAATTTCTTGACGAATAGCAATTTTCAGTTCCTGTAACGTACGAGGCTTGTGAGGGTACACTTTATCCTTAAGGTAACCCCACAAAAAGAAGTCGCATGCGGACAAATCTGGGGAGCGTGGGGGCCAAGGGACATCGCCGAAACGGGAAATCACATGTTCAGGAAACATCTGTCGAATCCATTCCATTGATGCTCTCGCTGTGTGAGCTGTGGCACCGTCTTGTTGGAGCCACAGCTCTCCCATGTTTACTTGTTGCTGTTGAAGTTCGGGTAACAGAAAATTTTGTAACATGTGAACATAACGTGCTGAAGTGACTGTTACTGCTCTTTCTTCCTCTTCAACAAAGTAAGGACCAACGATACCTAATTTACTGATTCCGCACCACACAGTTAATTCTCGCACAAAATTCTCTACGCTGTGCAAAATCGCTTTCCGTTAGCTCTTGCACGATCATTATCTTGTACGGATGATATTGTAAATCGTCATGCAGAATGCGTTGTAACGACCGACGGGACATACGCAGAGTTGGAGCTTGGCGCCTAGTGGACCGTTGGGGACTATCAAGGACCGCTCTTCTCACTGTTTCGATATTGCCTGGAGTCCGCACGGTACGGGGAAGGCCAGGTGGCTTCCTCTTCATTACGGATCCAGTACTTCGAAATGCTTCAACCCATCGGAGTATTGTGTTTCGATCTGGAATTGGCCCGTGGCGTTCAACATTGAACTGTCGACGGAATAAACGTTGCACGATCACTACAGAATCATCGTTTCGAAAAAATTGCTCGACGGCAAACACACGATGCTCCGTCATCCACGGTGCCATGGCTGAAACTGCATCGCATGTGTTCTCTGCTGGCGGTGCGGCGAGGTCATATCCCTATTCTGTGCGAAATACCATTCGGTCAGAAAACATGCGTTTCCTCTGCGCCACCCTGTAGTAATGAACCACAAACAGTATTTTGGGAAAGCGTGTTCCTTTAGATTAAAAAAAAGAAGCATATTCTTGTTTCATTCCAAGAATATGAGCCGATTTAGTCTCCTCAATTTTACTACAGGGCCTAGTATACAGGTTTCGTCGTTTTGGAAGTATATAGTAACTCTGATAACAGAGTCATAATGAGCGCCCCGGAGAACCTCAAAATATGAATTTACAGATTATTTAATTATCATTTAGATTTTCATTTAACTCCCAGGGGATAGACTGCAGTGTAAATCTGTAGGACTGTCTTTTCTCAAATGCGGATTATTCTTTCGAAATTAAAAAGATAGATTTTCTTCAGAAGTAAGATTAAGCTTCCAAAAATACTTTGTGAAATTATTTGTTTTTACATGGACACCAAATAGTTTCTGAACTGTCAAAAATTTTTAGCAGCGTAAGTTAGGGATACGGTGACTAACTCTTTGCGCTGTTCTTTTATAGTAAGCTGTGGCATTATTTTTTGTTTTGTGTATGCAGCCGGCAGGCTTATTACCTAACTTCCAACCGACCGTCAACCGACTCAAGTTGGTCGATAGTTGCTGTCAAACGCAAATTTCGTATTATGTATCAGTCAGTGCGTCTCAATCGCCGACCGGCTACGGTGGCGCCTCTATGGAGCAACTGGTGAACGAAAAGTGCATTCTTTTGTTAGGAGTATCAAAAAATTGGTATTCCCTAACTCATTGACAGCGACCCAACAGCAACTTACTAGCGATTTGAACTGTCAAATTAACAACTGCTCTGTGGTAGTCGACTAGTCGGTTGCTAGTGTTTTGTTTGGATAACATTGTCAAAACTATTCATTTTTTTAACAAGAAAGGTAAGTATAACAAGTTCAAATAAGGAATAAAATAGCTTGACGAGCCTAAGAGGTGATTGTATGCTCCCAATTTGTATTTTCAGCAATTTTGATTCTCTGAATGGCTCGTGCATTTTTACTTATGGAAGCATTGGAAAGCGAAAGAATGCACGATCAAAGACGGCAAACTTCTCGCCTACGACGTATTTTTCAGTATCTATGACTTGAAGTTCATAATGATTATCAAATAAGCTTACTTGCACCTTCCTACCACAGTATGGAAACATATTGGTTTTAGGTATTAGCAGCACTTCTGGTGCTAGCCACTGGTTCCTGCCAGAAACATATTGGCATGCGTTATTTACATGGGCTCAGTCAACCTAGTGTATCCAAAGCACTAAGGGAAATGGTGGATGCATTAAATCATCCAGACATTCTATCTAAGCATATTTACTTCCCTCAAACACTGTTAGAGATTATAGTAATTATATTGCCATGCATATTAAGCAAGTGAGATTGCATATCAAAATTAAATGGTGGATCATTAACTGAGAAACCAATGAGTTCAGCTACATCAAAAAGTTTCAACACATGGAAGTTTACATTACCTGATAAAAATTCCATCGCTGTGGAAGTTGAAATTTCCTATTAACAAGAGTAATAAGTCAATATTCATCGATCCTAAGATCAATACCTCAGACTCATTATCTGTAAGATTAACAATACAGCAACAAATCCGAGTCTTAATATTTCACATATTTTAGGCAACATACCGATTTCAGCACTAATATTTACTTTGGTTTTTTTTACTTTAGTTGTAATTATTGTTATATGCCTGCTTGAAGATGAGTAATAATGAAAGATATATTTTTACAGGTGACTCTGGACACATCCATTAAGAATCGGTCTTACCAGAAATACCATGAGTATTAAAGTTTGTATTATCTACTGTATCGAACATTTTAAATTTCCGTGAAATAATATTCATTGTCATATGCTTATGCTTAATGATAGCTCTGCTTTAAAAAGGTTTTATCAACCACTGTAAAGAAAAAGGTAATGGTTATAGAATTAGTTTTCTAGGAAGGTTTATTTTCACATGTCCAGATTCAACAATATCTATTTTAGAGGATTTGGAACAAGCCTAAAAGTATGCTTTGAGTGAAGATCAAGAAAAGTTGCAAAATGCATTTGTAACAAAAAGCACTGCCTTTTTAAAATATAGTTATAAAACTGCTGACCTTCTTTTTGTAATAGAACCCACAACTTTTTTATCAATTTAAGCATTAATGGTACTAAATACAATCGTAAAAATTTCAAAAAAAAATCTGCATTCCACAATCACTCAAACAGCCTAGAACTTCGCGGCTTGTATTAGTATTAGTACTAATCGCTAAATGTATTTCTAATGGGGACCAATTCTCTTTAGAAAATGTATCAAATGCATTTCTACAAATACAATTTTTTTAATGACACTCCTATTTTATTTTCGTCAATTTGTAAAGCAATTATTTTAAATACAATTAAAAATCTTATTGTCTTAAATATGTTGAGAGACAAACTTTTTACTGTATTGAAGAGTTATAAATGATTTATGGATTGAAGGTGCCATTACAAAAAATAGGTCAGTGATTTTTATGAAATGATTTAAGAGAAGTAGTTTTAATACAAAAAATAGGGCACTGTTACACAACAGCGATAGGGATAATATAGTAAATTGATTTGTGCAAATATCTTTTATTAAAATGACAAAGATTCGGTCACACAAGTAAACAATAATCATAAAAATACTTTATCCTTTCTAAATTTCAATCAGGTTTGAAGTTTTTAGATGCTTGACCAAATTTCTTGTGAAATTTTTGAAGTTGCATTAATGCTGTCTCTGCCTGCATACAACTTTCGTGCACCCTGCCTAGCTATTTGTAATTCTATATGTGGTGGTGGCTCAACAGCTGAAGATGAAGGAGTTGGTTCTGAAAATCAAAAAGCTTTTAATTAATATCTGAAGTTATGAAGCAATACCAAGTAGAAACTGAATTCATATGCAATTTTTCATTCTAAAACAAGATCATCACTAGTGAAAAATTAAAATAAAAATTTGTATTTTTTCCATTTGAAGCAGAACTTTGTACTTGTGATCAAGTGTTAGAAGATGATGTGCCAGGAAGTAAAATCAAATTAAATGGGGTTTAACTAAGTGGGCAATAGACATAGAGAATATAAACTGATTTTTCATTAATTAAAATTAATCCCATTTAAATTTATCCAGGAGTTATGTACTTACACTAAATGGAATTTGAAGTTCAGTATCTCCAAATACTGCTGCTGTTCCCAATATGGCCATATCTAATTCAGATAAGTTATCAACATTAGCACCCTCCACCAGTACCTGTAGCATCCTGCCTATATTGTGCAGCTCTAGATTGTATCCTATGTTTAAGGTCTATCCAATACTGTAAAAAAGTATTATTGTATTAGTACTTGAATAAAACCATATGGAACATCTTGGTAGCAACTATTTGGAAAAATACAAATACATTGAATCAAACAAACTATTTTCTACCCGTAGAGTACAAAAGAGTTTCATATAAAGTCTCATCTAATAAGAATTGAATTACTGAAAGAAAAAGGATGAATAACAAAATGTAACATAAACTCACCCTTCTCCAGCATTGTCCATTTTTTGTAGCTCCAGATCCATGAGTATTCAGACATATCGTCCGACTTTCTATTAATTGTCTCCTTTGATCTCCCTCCAAGCCCAACACTGTCCTTAGCTAAATTAGGATGAATTTCTGCAAAGACAAGTACCTCATCGATTTGCAATGTTGAGATTATATTTCATTTTGAAAATTAACACAAACACCTCCTAGTCAGACAAAATCTCAAACACAAATAAAAGTGTAACATAGTGATGTTCACGTCTTCTGATGCATTTGCAGCCTTTAATGAATAAGCAGTCATCTAGAACTATACAGGTAAGTGCCAGCAAGTGCTGATTGATTTAGAGCAGGGCTGTCCAACTTAATGTGGCCCAAGGGCCACTTAAAAAAAATGCAATTTGGAGGGCCGCATTATAAGATCTTTCTATACAACATTATTACTGAGTTTTAATAGGTATATACTATACTATATGGTATACATATATGTATATATGAACCGTGAAGCGGGCTGCAAGAAAGGAGTTCGCGGGCCGCATGCGGCCCGCGGGCCGTATGTTGGACAGCCCTGATTTAGAGAAACATCTGGCACTTGTCAATAAGCTGTTTTCACCCTCGCGTTATTTTGCATCGCTCTTTCTGTCTTGAGATAAGTCTTCAAGGCTAATCTATGTGAAACTGTGTCTTCTATTTGTCGACAAATGACTGTGTGTATATATTAAGTGTGTATCAAGGGGCCACTCTTGACTTATGTAAACATCCACACAAGAGGAGCGCCGCGAACAGTTCGAACTCCTGAAAATGTTGAACGCGTTCGACAGGTCTTTCTTCGCAGTCCGACTCGATCTGCCCGGAAACATGCTGCTGCACTTCGCCTTAGTGATCGTTCGGTAAGGCGAATTTTGCATATGGATCTCCGCTTTCACCCCTACAAATTGGCCATTGTGCAACAGTTACAGCCCGGAGATTATGCACAACGAATGAACTTCGCACGTGAGATGGAAGCACTGATCGATGAAAATGAGAACCTCATTTTGTTTATGAGTGACGAAGCCCACTTTCACCTAAACAGCATGGTTAACCAGCAGAATTGTCGTTATTGGGCTAATGAAAATCCGCAACAGTTACACGAAAGACCGCTGCACAGCCCAAAAGTAACGAGAGAGCGATGTTGGAGAGAGTCTACGCGAACTTCCAAGAACGCCTCCAGCACTGCATCAACAATTTCGGCGACCACATGCCTGTTGTGATTTTCCACACTTGACTGTCTCAAATGCTATTTCCTTGTGAACCTGATTCCATCAATAAATTTGTTTTCGAGTAAAAATTAACTATTTTATGATTTTTTTAGAACCGTCCATCCTCTCTGCCGCACCCTGTATATGATACATAGCGGAAATATTTCAACGTACTTCAAGCGGTTTGATATCAAAGGCTTTGAGCAATACATTATGTCCGAAGCTTTTTTGTGGATATAAACTATTGCATTTGAAAAAAATATCCTTTACTGCTCTTCGTTGAATAGATTCCATTCTGCTAATAGAGTTTTGATCAATAGGAGCCCAGATGGGCGATGCACATTCAAGCTTGCTTCTGACGTACATATGTTAGATTGCTTCAACATTCGAAACCTGACCAGTTTCTAACACAGTACCCTAGCATTCGGGAAGCAGACGGTGTAATGTTACTTATGTGATCATTAAAAGTGAACTTGGCATCAAGTGTAACACTCAGGTCTTTATAACTGTTACTCTTTTCTAACCTTACCTGATTAACACAGTAGTCATCATAAAGCATACAATTTTGTTTCCTACAATATGTTACTACTTTACATTTTGACACATTTAGTGTGAGGAGGTTCTTGAAATGCCATGAATTTATAGTTATAAATTGTTAAATTATCAGCAAAAAATAAATGATGAAATTTAATCTCAAGGGGCAAATCATTAATAAAATATATGACTGTAGGACCGAGAGTATATTTTCAGAAAATTCTAGGTTTGACAATTTATGCAGTAATAAGCACTTGTTAATTTGGTCAAAGGCGGTCTGTAAATCTGTATAAACTACTCAATCTGGCCTTGCTGATTCAGAGTCGTGGCAACAAATTGGGTAAAAAAGCATTGAACACGAACATTTGAGAAACCTGATAATTCTTGGGTGTTACCCAATAGCAAAAGTGCCTGGTATTTTGAAAGAGCTTGATATAGTCAAACGCTAAAATGAAAGAGTACAGTGTAAGGCAGGGTTTCTTTCGGTATGGTAAGCCCTGCATTTACGTACACAGCGCCGTCAGGTTGTAGCAGTTGCACCACTCTCTCCAATTTAGTATTTGACTTTAGTCATAGTTAACCTTTTATTGTGCTGCTTTACCAAATTTATACTTAACTTCTATTAGAAAACTAACAAAATACTGTCTTTTCCAAAAACTGTCAAATCACCAGTGGCCTCCTCGATCTCCAGAACTTTGCCCCATGGAACAATTATGGGAGATGATGGGAAGAAGGTTGCAAAATTCACCGCACCCTCCACAAACATTGGAGGCGCTACGAAATCAAATTCAGATGGCATGGGATACAATACACCAATAAGGCATTAATCACTTAATCCAATCGATGCCGCGACGACTCAACGAATGTGTAGCGAAGAGAGGAGCTTCAACACATTATTAATATTAAGGGGACATATGTCAGCTATTCTGCGAAATTTCGAGTTAAAATTTTAATCACCTTCTGTTTATCAGTAGACCAAAAACTTATAAAAGTATGCTCAAAACTACAGCACTCCTAGTCGGTGTTGCATTTTCTATGTCATACAGTATAATTTCGATTTCGAATCCAGCACTGATGTGGACCAATTCAGATACCATAGTGTCTGTGCGTTGTCTGCATCATCATGGTCGTCTGGGATGGATGCGGCGACAGCCAAAGCAAAGCACAGGTGTTAGTCGCATTTATGCTAAATAACTGTGCTCACGAAATTATAGACATTTGCCTGGACTGTGGCTGCACGCGTTGTCCAAGATATGCACCATACCGGAGCCCGTGTGGCCCAAGCAAGCGGTACGATTGTGTCCTGTCGTAGTCGTGCCTTCCTCGATGACATCGACACCCTCACGTTTCTGCTCGAGCTGCTTGAATCACTGGAGTGGACGTGATTCTATGTCACTGGTGTTCCTGTATCATACGTGAGATAGCAGGAAGAGCCACGAGTGCTAATTTTGAATTCAACGGTTGTTAAGGGAAGTCTACATAAACGGAGTATTGTCGGCTACGGCACTGAGAAAAACATTTAATTGAACCAAAAAAAAATTTTATTGAGCCAAATAAAAAAATTAGTTAGCTATGTGACAGCTAACAAGTCAAACTAGTTTAATTAAACTCTGATTCCTAAAACAGCCTACTTGAATCTATATGATTCGTTTAATTAAATTGAAATGCAATCGTTCAATTAAACTTATTAAACTGTTTATTTGACATTAACGAATAACTATCACTATTACTTACCTGCTCCAAGTTAACTATTTAATTATATTTATCAAACTCGATTAAGTAGCTTACGTAAAAGTATTCGCGTAGTTTCAATTAATTATTTTACTTAGATTTAGTATTCTATTTGGATAAAACTTGAAGAGCATTAAGAAATTGTCAGTTAAGTATGGAAATCCAGTTTAATAAAAGGCATATCTTGTTTATATATGTTTAGGAAAGAAGAACACATCAAGCACATGTGTGGTATAAATTCCTTAATTGGCCTGAATATAGCTGCAAAAATAAATTTTCGAAGTTCTTACCACTTCATCAGGTCACCAGTAACCCCGCTTTACAGAGCCTTTGATTATGAGCGAAACATATTCTAACCATGGTTATGAGTCACTAAGCGCCTTATGTTCGATTATTTCACTTGACCACCATGCTTGATTTACTTTACGCTACTGTACCAATAACGGAAACATTCGTATATAAATGGAACCGAGAAATTCGAACGTCACCAGCAAATTTACAATTAAACTGATTCCAGAAAATTTAGTTTGAATAAACCGAACAATTTCGCTACTTGGGATAATCAAAAAATCAATTGCGGGTAATGAAAATTTTTCAGAAAGACTGTTTAAGTGACCACGTTTTCTCAGTGGGAAATTGTCAACCTCTGTTAGGAGGACGCAGTTAACGTAGATTCTGCAAGGCTGTTAGGAAGGGTTATGAAGTATAAAAGGATGAATTTTATAAAAAAAATAATAAGGAGGCCTATCCACACAATGTTTTCATGTCTTACTGCACTCAACAAATACATTTTGTTTTCTGTTACAGTCCAGACTTTGTTTTATAGATGTGGTTATATAGTATTTGTAGGGCATAGAGTAGAAAAAAAAATATCATGAAAAGTTCATATAGAGATCGGACCTAGAATGTCCCCTTAACGAGTTACAGAGCATTGATACAAATACAAATAAATTAATAAATACACTGTCGAAGAGCTAACTCACGCAGATAAACTCAAAGAACTCACAGACGAATGAGACCTTGTGCGTGGGAACAACTTGTTTACATAGACAGGTAAGTAAAATCATACTATTAACTTGACAATATTTCATAAGAATTATTTTTGATGTATCCTGACGATTTTTGCACTGTATCTATTTTTCTTGTTTCAACTTTGAATTTGTTTATATTAATTTATATGGGAAAGTAAAGTATTGTACAGTCTACTTAAAAGGTAAGTATAATACCTCTGACTATTTTTTTTCATGTGAAAAATGTGTTTTTTTTATGTTGATTTAATTTCTTGTATAGTATGAATGAAGTTATAATTTCAAGCTCGTCTCCAAAAGCAGCATAGACGGTGGCGTCTGAATGTAAGGACCGACAATCGGGTTGCCGTCAGATACTATATGACGTAACAAGGTATGAATGTGAGGACTATATTGGTTAGAAGGAAACAGGATGAGGGAATGATTTAAACGACGATAATGCAAAGCGAGGACAAGAAAAACAGGACATCGGATGGAAGATTACATTTGTATATGATAATTTTTTATTTTATTTTTATTCTATTTTTATTCTATTTATTTATTTATTCCCAACAGGTAACACCCAATTACAGTAAAAATATTAGAAAAAGTTACATAATTAGCAACAGCGGTAGCGCCAAAAGCAAAAAAAACTTAAAAACAAGAAAAAAAAACTCTTAATGACAAAGGTATCAGTCTCTGTCGCACTTCATAACAAAGCTCTCACTAACAAAAAATAAGTCACAGGAACTGCAAACGGAACTGAAACATGTACAAATCATATTTACCGGAGATCTAGACCTTAAATTAGTATTACCAATAACCGGATAGAAAGTGATTTGAACACAATTTCCCAACCTAGACACACGAAAATTAAGCTTACTTAATATGAATGAACAATCAACTTGATGGTGTATGATTTTGTACCAAAGATGTAGCGCTGATATATCGTGTCTAAGATGCAATGACTTTATTCCAAAAATGTTTAATAAAATAGAATTGTCGAAACCTCTTCCAGTATAATTGCCATAACATTTGTAATACAAATACTTTAAAGCCTTACGCTGCACATATTCAATACTAACCCTTGAATTGTTGTAAATTGGAGACCAAATTAATGAAGCTAATTCCAGTTTACTTCCAACAAATGTAAAATATAAAATCTTTAGAGTTGATATGTTTGAAAACCCTGACCAATTCCTTAAACGCTAAATTCACCATTTGAGTGATGTGATCCTAGAATGTCACTTTGGCATCGAATACAATCTTTGAACGTGTCATACTGTATTATATTTTGCTACTAAAAGACAGAACTTTACACTTTGATGCATTAATTGTGAGAGAGTTTCTGGAACACCAACATTGCACCAAGTTCAAGCTGTTTTGAAGAGAGATACAGTCGTGATAGCTCTGAATAGTAGTATAAATCTTTAAGTCGTCAGCATAAAGTAAATACTTACCAGGCAATTCCCGCGACAGATCATTGATAAACAACACAAAAAACAAAGGACCTAAATTTGATCCTTGAGGCACTCCAGATGTTGCTGTATAAGAATTAGATTTAAAACCACCAAACTCAACTTACAGAGGATGTTCTAGTAAACGTCCAGACAGATCCTTCCAGCTAAAGAAGATTGATAAAAGTAGTAACTTATTGTGTAAAAGTCATCATAAGGAGCTTCAAAATGAGATATCACACGACTTAAAGTATATTCTAAGATGGGATAGGGTGCCATCTTGGAATTTTCAACTGTGACATTCGCTTAAAAAAATATAATACAACTCCCTCCACTCTCCATCAAAGCAAATATTAGCGTATGAAGTTCAAATAGGCCAACGTGTGATAAATGCCTGGGCATAGTAGCGACCAGCGAATATAACTGACGATCAAGTGCTCATGTCACAAGGCGTAAATGAGATTGAATACATTATAGTATCTTTGCAATAATTTCATCACTTTAAATTTCAACTTGCTAGCTTAACTAGCTCAAAAAATGAGTAAAGCGGATCACGGATAGAATAGGAAGGTTACTGCAGAAACACAACCTGAAGACCATCTACAAGCCGACAAATAAAATCCAGCAACTCCTAACATCAGTAAAGGACCCTAAGGACCCCCTGAGCGGTGCCGGCGTATACAGAATACCATGTTCCTGTGGTAAAGTATACGTAGGCACCACTAAATGTAGCTTCCAAACACGCATCAAGGAGGCCACAATGTTCTGTTCGACCAAACTGAATTCCCATCAACATCCACCCACTGCTCAGCCCGAATGTACAGAGAAGCAATTGAAATCTATAAACACAACGATAATTTCCATAGAAATGAAGAAGGCCTTGCCTTAAACAAAACGTGGTTCCCAATTCTAAAAAACACAGCGCAAAAGCCACGTCACTCAAGAGGCCCAGGTTACCCCCACCAGACAACTCAGTCCTCAGTCCGCCGATCGCCTATAAAACCGCACGCTCATCCAGTTAACTGATCAGTTTCAGTCGATCCGCCAAGCCTAGCACTTCGCTCTCGCCGACAGCGTCACTGAAGATGGCTACCGCAGATGTAGCCGAACGTTATGGACCAAATCTAACCCGACCACGGCTCAACAACCCGAAAAACCTAAATTACATTAGAATTTGCCGGGAAAGCCTTCATTCTTCAAAGCGGAGACCTTTTTGGAAAAGCACTGTATATTCGATCGTCATCTGCTCAGACAGCCAACGTGAACACTTTCAAAGAGCTGGAAGACCGAAATATGGTAATGTTGCTCTAGGTACCAGGTCATGAAGGCGATTAATCGCCTGTAGGTCCAGAGCCTAAATAAAGGATCAAGGCTGGACACAGTGCTTTAGAAAGTGTATATGGGGGTTACAATATGTCCGTTTGGGTCGCAGTGACGTTGAGGCTAGCAAGTGAACCCCTCTCTTTCGTAACCTTGTAATCCGTGCAGTAATTCCATCAATCTAAATTTAACCCGCTCACAGATTGAGTAAAGCAGAGGGATCTTCTTGAAAAGCACTGTATATTTGACTGAATGTTCAATAATAAAAATGGCACTCGTAGCATAAAGTGTCGCCTGCTGATGCTGTACAGATCAATCGAAGCGCAACAGATATCGCTCGATCAACGAATTGTGCATCGGAGTACTGCCTGCGGGCGGCCAGATGCTGGAGATGCTTGTCGTAATTTGAGGGCGGCTCCTTTGGCACGCTCGCCACGTCAGCCCGACGACGCGCGATTATCCACCGCCGTGGCGAAGCGGCCCCGGGCTGCCGTCGGCTGGTCGTACTGCCGCCCCGGCGGTACGGCTCGCGAGCCCTTTCATCGCGTACCGCCCGACCGGCCATTAGCCGGCCGCCGGCCCGTTCGCGGCCGCGTCTTCGGTGTGGTAGCAGACACCGTCAGCATGCAGATTTCTTCATTTTCAGATTCCAGCCGGATAGATTTCACTTCTTTTGTGCATAGATTATGTTCATATTTGGTAATTTTGTCTCCTGTAGCTTTGAGACAAAGATCGGTCTAAAGCGGAGATTAGGGCGGGGGATTAAGAGCGCCAGTGGCTCAAGACGGAATAAGCCACAAATCCTCAAAATGCTAGTCGGAACTTGTTTTCTCAACCCCCCGCACAAAAGAAAAGAATCCAGTAGAAATGACGTCAACTAATTAATTGTACAAAGAGCCAAATGAGACCAAGGTATTTGAAACAATCACAATATATTAACTACGAGTATACTTAATTAAGTCATATGTTCCATAATAATATGTGCAGTGTAAATTAAAAAAAGGATATTATTCAAATTGCAGCACAAAGAATGTGTAGTTTGTGATAATAACCCTGCTAAACATTTACCAAGATATACGAACCAGTACCTTGAAGTTTTATCACTAATTACAAAATACTAAAAGCCAAACTTATCTGTATTGTAGACTTTTCCCAGGCACGGCTCTAGACGCAGCCGAGATGGCCTCAGCCCACAAAAGCCCTGGAGTTTTGGCTAAAACCAGTGGCCAGTACTGGACAGTGTCGAAAGGAACTTTACAGTATAGGCTGTTTGCCTCGCACTCAAAATTTATGGTTCAAGAAAAAAACCTAAAGAGAAAGACTGTTTCAAAATCTACTCGATATTCTTTTTATAAAAAACACTACTCATTAAAACACTCAAACTTGAAAAATCATGTACATTTTTATAAAAACAGTAAGACAAAGGCAAAAAAGCAAAATGTATTAAAGCCATATACCCTCAAAAAGTTATCCATTGTTCTTAACAAGTTATGGCAGCTCAGAAATCGAAATCATGGTTAATGTAATGGAGTAAGTGCGAGACTGCCTCATATTTGGATAAGAAAAATGCCAGTCAAAATCAAGTACACGATTTCAGTCAACAATAATCAATATATAATTATTTATAAAAGAAAAATGATATTCTGCTTGGTTTTTTTAAGTAGAAGGGGTGCTTACATCCAGCCAAAAAATAGCTACAAGGCTGGAGGAGTACGGCTGGTGGTTTTTCTCAATGCCTTCCCACTAAAAGGAAACAGATTTTGTGAAGAAAGATTAGTATTTTTGAACCTTTCATGAGTGTGTCCCCTATCACTCTCTGGAAGGAATCAGGCAAATTGCCAGTAACCCTGTATGAATCCGAGGGACCGCCCACATATTCTGTGAGCACCAAATCAATAACCAGCGTACTCTCGTAAAAGGACCAGCTATTAAATCTACCAGCTGACAACCCTCTTTTTTTCTCATGATGTCTATCCACCATCCAAACTGTTGCTTCATCCAAAATCGATAACTGTGTCGTTTTGTCCGCAGGAAGGAGTGTCAGATCCGCCAAGTGTCTCCTCGATAAGTAGATTACTGCGGGGCGGGGGAAGCGGGGGGAGTTGCGGGGACAGCCGGGAACGTCGAGAGGATCCGGACTCCAAAAAGGATTACACTATCAACGGCATACTTGGCGGTAAGTGGACAAAGAGATTCGTTAGCGATGTATACAAGAAGAACTGGATCATTATTTTTGTGGATGAAACGCTCAGTTTACTAAATCCAGCTTACGTAGGCCACGATATGAGTCTTGCCGTATGACAAATACACTACTCAAGAAATAAAGTTAAGGGAGCAAGAGAAAAATCCAAATCTTTCGATGATATTTGGCAGCTTGTATTTCGGAGTAGATCGTCGTACATAGACTGTAAAAAAGTGTTTTGAGCCTCCAAAGTTCTACCTTTCATGTTTTATAGCCAAAAGTTTCAGGAGCAATGGTTCTTATGAAATTTAAACAGCGCAAGAAAAAAATTTTGCAAATTTTTTGCGATCTTTTTAGTCTACGGGCTTAAAGAAATGTTTTGTGTTAGGTAAAATCTCGATACAATCATTTAGCGCGGAGATATCTGACTTTGAATGGAAAAGGGTCATTTTGTCATCGACCGCTGATATCTCGGTAACCAGTGAACGTACACAGAACATAAGAGTATTTACGAAGACTTTAATAATATTTTATTGCATTCTTGGAGGATTTTTTATTTTGCTTTCTTAGTATTGATTTTAAAAGGAAAAAAGTTACTTTTTGACCAGGTTTGGAAAATGGACTGCATTTTAGGAATTGCTAATGAGAAGGCTAATGTTTTTAGGTTTTTTATACCTCAATGTACCCCTAATAACGCTACACGACATAAAATCGATCCATTGTACGTGTTCTCCGGACCGAGTGGTCAGAATTTGGAAGAAATGAAAGGAGAAAAATTTTTGTATCTGGTTGAAAATGGAAAAATCCTTTTTCTTCTTTTGTTGTTACTATTGGATACACCTTCCATTTTTAAAAAAAGTAATTAGAAAAAAGTTATTATTTTATTATTGCAATATTTCAAATTACAAAAACACTGATCAGCGGCGGATCTAGAAAGTATTCATTGTCCCGTCCGACCGAAATAAGTAAGATCCGACACTGAATTTGCAACATTTTCAAACTTTGACCAGTCGGTCTGGAGAAAACGTACAATGGATCAATCTGCTATTAGAGAAGAATTCAAACATTTTGCAAAATAATGTTATCTTGCGCTATCTATTAGAATTGCATGAGAATCGTTGCTCCTAAAAATTGTCGACTAAAAAACATGAAAACTAGTATCTCAAATCTTCCATATGCTTTCTTTTAAGTCTAGATGCGACCATTTTTCAGCGAAATACATCCAGTGGAAGAAAACCTAAAAATTTGGAAATTTTTCTTTCTCCCTTTTTTGAGAGGTGTACAGATTAGCTAGGTTATATTCACATTACTTGCAAAATCCTCACTTTGGTTAGTCAAAATTAGTGTAGTTATTTTCACGATTTTTGACAGTTGCACTACTGTGGCATATGGAATAAGTAGAAACGTTGCCTAACTGTATCCTAAGGGAAATTGCACATTACGCAACCTAGCTACATGCTCCTCCACATACATACATGAATTGAGCGACGGAGGATCGGTATATCTATTCGCTTTCTTAAAATACCCCAATAAATTCAACACATAGTAATTTGTATCTCTAGCCATTGTATTGTTCAACAACAGGTAAACTCAAATTGCACGCCCCTAGCAACCAAGAGGATTTTCAGGGCAGTCAGACGTGATTAAAAGACCTATGTACAGACATAGCAAATGTCAGCGCAAGGAGACCAACTGCATACGCATGTTTGAGAAACATCCGTCAATAATTGTGAACATATTTTCAAGGTATCGTTATGCAGTTGGTTTCCGACTGTAGGCTACTGTGCCACTATGTATAACTATATTACTCGAACACCCGTCAAACTTGGCAATGACGAATTTTCTGGGAAAAAAGTTCATAAAAAAGTTTCATAGTATCAGAAAAGTAATGTGCCGATGACCACGAATATGATTTAGACAATGAACTAAGAGGTCATTTGGAGATTAACTCTGGAAATTCAAATGACAACAACTACTTTGACAGAAGATTTGTGTCGGGTTCGAGATGTTACTTCAGAATCCATTTTCATACGCGAGGTTAAGCACTCATAGGTGTTTCAATCAGCATGACCTTCTGCAACATCTGAAAAGTATACGAACCACCCGAAAGCTTGCTAACCATTAGAACGAAGGTTCAATATGTTTCAGGGTATCAAATGAGCAATTCGTCAATCAACTACACATCGATCTCAGATTTCATTTGCAGGTCAACTTTGTTGTAAGATATAGTTGTAGTCACCTTTCTTGGCGGTTATGTCATCAACGCCATATGAAATAAGTAAACAGATCGAGTCTCTGTACCATGGCCGGTTCTTGAGCGCAGAGGTTGTGATATGTTGTCCCTTACGTTTCATATCGTAGAAAGTATTCCTAATTTCTGTTTTGACGGTCTCACTTACATCATTGGTCTTGCATATTTTGATTTTGTGAATTTACCTACGTGTTACTATGGGCAAACCTTTCTTATTTTATGATATTATTCGCTGAACACTGCGCATCTGCTACTCTCTCCAGTACGCATGAAGTGGGTGACAGGGTACCGCTGTTTCTCTTCTCTTCCTGGAAATACTCTAATAAATTTAACACGAGCTGTCGGCCTTCTCCATTGATCATATTTTCGGGCATTGTACAATGTTATATTGAAGATTGATAACAGAACAACTAAAGTTGCACGCCGATGTCAAGTAAGTTGTCGCATTGACAGATATGATTCAAGAACACTCATACGTAACGACAAAGTTTTCGAGACTGAGACACACAACTAGAAAACACATGTCTTTGAGCTTACCGAGCAACCGTTCACACCCAGGGGTAGGTTGCATGTGTATGTATGAGGGAGATGGAGATATATAAAGGGATACTGGTAGTCTTACTTTGTCCCGCCAAGAACGGTGACTACAGCTATAGCAGCTACTATTTTTAACAGCAGACCTTTGTCGAGCTCGAGATTTTACATCAGATTTCAGGATCTCATTTTCCTAACTCCATAATGCTGACCCACATAGTAAATTGCAAAATGCGTGGGCTACCCTAGAATCACGTGGTATGAAAATCTCGTCAAGTCCGAAGAGGTTGAAGTGGCCATTTAGTGCCTTTCTTTCGTAAAGATTAACAACCGTCTCCATTCAAATATGTTTGTTAATAAGCTTACAACCAAAATGAAGATGCGGTGTTTGCGTCGTCTTGTTCCTCGAATATTACCGGATTAACGACATCGATTGCTCGGACAGAAAATGCGGTGGAGATTTTATAGTAAAGAGATTGGATCGCATAAAAATGCTTAGGTACGATTTTCTGCACGTTGGTGTGTGTGTATATCTGTGAACGCTTCGGGATTGTTTATCCTTTGCACTCTTTAAGTACATACATATGTATATACATAACCACGATTGAATTAACAAAGTACTTGCACATGTACCAATCGTATTGTGGCATGAAATCGAAAAGCTCGTTATTGAAATAGGTATGTGATATTTTCGTATCATTCAGTTCCGACTTATAAACGAACAGCTCGGCTTACCTTCATAGCGCATCACATGGATTGGCGGCCACCTCACCGTCGTACCTTTTCACATAACCACGTGCTAGAGGGGGAGCCGACTTTGATACGGCACGTTTGCCCGGAACCTACTAAGCTGTAGTTGTAGCCACCATTCTTCGCGGTTACGTCATCAACGCCATATGAAATAAGTAAACAGATCGAGTCTCCGTACCATAGGTGGATCTTAATTTTCCTAGCTGCGGGAAGCCAATTTAGAACTATTTTCTAATCGTGATTCTCAAAAATCTTCTAATCTAGTACATACACGTATAACATGCCATTTGATGTTTTTTAAAGTTGAAATAAAAAAAAACATACGGAATTTGCAATATAATACAAAATAGTACACATCCATTTACTAGCTTGATGGAACATTTACCATTGGATGTGGATATGTGACAAGCTTATGAGAGCATTAGAAGAAACATCTTCAATAATAAAAATGCTCAATTCTTCCGGGAGTGAAATACGACTAAATAAATTACTGCTAGACAAAAAAATACAGTTTGATGATGATGCTGTTAAACTCGAGCTTTTAAATCTATGTCTCCTTAATAAACATCAAGCTTGTAACTTCTACATCTATCATTAAGGTGTTCACCTAGAAAATAAAAAATATAAAATTTCAAAATTGTTTCAATATAAGTATGAACTATTGGATTTCTTCATCAGAGTCATCTGAACGTTCTCTCAAGTGAATGATTATATTATATTTAACACTTGATGCTTGTCGTTGTTAATCAAGTCCTCGGTATGCTTCACACACTTGACCCAAACTGTGGGAGTCACCTTCTCTAGACCATCGTCCCATACTTTCAAAACTTATTTGTCACAATAACCATTTTCCCCAATATGACGATCATAGTACTGTTTGGCTATTGCCCAGACTAACTCAATAGAGTTGCTTTAACAATGGTAGGGGGGGAGTCGCAAAACTTGATGTCCATGTTCATGTAATATTTCGTCTATATTTTGGAGCCGTTGGTTTATTAAGGCGACATAGATTTCAAAGCTCGAGCTTAAAACCGTCATCATCAAAATGTATCTTTTTGTCTTGTAACCATTGCTCCAATTGCATTTTACCCCAACTGGAATTGGGCATTTTTTTCTGTTAAGGCACTATGATAAGACGCATTATCCATGATTACTAAAGTTGTCTCTTGTAATGCTGGTATCAGCTTCTCACATACTCATTTTTGAAAAGATCCTTGTCCATGAAATCGTGGTAGTCAGCACTTTTTGATTTTGTAGAAAATAACGATGCGGTATCTCTCAAAAAGCCTACTGCCGTTTTCGTTCTCTTCCTGGAAATGCTCTAATAAATTTAGCATGAGCTGTCGGCCTTCTCCATTGATCGTATTTCAGAATATTGTACAACATTTTATATTGAAGATTAATAACAGGACAACTCAAATTGCACGCTGATGTCAAGTAAGTTGTCAGTCTAATAAATATAATTGAAGGGCACTCATACGTAACGGCAAAGTTTTCGAGACGCAGACACACAACTAAAAAACGTATGTTTTTGAGCTTACCGAACAAACGTTCATACACAGGGGTAGGTTGCATGTGTATGTA